CGCCTCCCATCCTCATCATGGCCTGTTTTCTTTGTTACCTTCTGGGAAGAGGTTCCGCTGTGTCCGATGTAGAACGGCCCGATTGGGAAATAGCTTTGTCCCCCAGGCTATTAGATGTCTGAATGTTTAATATCAAATGTATAGAAAGTATATTTTATAGTAACTTAGGTATCTCAATTGTATTTTAGTGTACGATTGTAAGCTAATTGCAATGGAATTTCATTTGATTATGCACTTGGTGTATAATGTAAATAACGACAATAAAGTTATTCTATTCTATTCTATTCTATTCTATTCTATTCTATTCTATTCTATTCTATTCTATTCTATTCTATTCTATTCTTATTCTATTCTATTCTATTCTATTCTATTCTATTCTATTCTATTCTATTCTATTCTATTCTATTCTTTCTTCTGCCATGTCCCCCATGCAGTTGCCTTCATCTTCTCCCCAGCCCGTGAGTGAGACTCCCTCTAGGGATCACAGAGCACTTCAGCTCAGCGCTGGAGAAAGGTCCGAAGATGGTTCTAGTGCAGTGTTTCCCAATCTTGGCAACTTCCAGATGAGTCGACTTCAACTCCTAGAATTCACATCCATGGCCACGTTGACTGTGGAATTCTGGATTTGAAGTCCATGGAAATGGTCAACGGTAAGAAACACGGTTCTAGTGCATGCTGGCCAAGGAAGGGGTCACACACTGACCTGCTGAAGGAGTCAAGTTGAAATGGTCCATGTAGTCAGGCTTCTTCTTCTTCCTCTTTGCTTCAATCCCATGAGGGTCTGGGGAAGCAAACAGGACATTGACATCTGGCCACCAAGGACAGGTTATCCACTACCCATTTCTACTGGTACAATGTTGCACTGCCTTTGCCCCCAAAGGATACCCACCTGGGCCAGAGAGTTCCTCCAAGACATCGGGCATACCTTGCTTCCTTTTTTTGTTGACCCGGTACGTATCTGTACAAAGAAAGAGCTATATATTTATTCTGAGATATCCTATTCAATGTTCAGGTCCAGGAAAGAAAACAGCTGAGGGTCTTGATACTGAATTTCTCACTCTGTGCAATTCATACAGACTGGATCAGTTCATGTAAGTCTTTAGTGCTTCAAGAAGACGTTTCCCCAGATTTCTCAGTGCATTAAAAAAACAGAGATGGAACAACAGATCCTTGGATTGCAGAAGATTTCAACAGATAATGAAGGACAGAAGCCAGGAATGACAGCCTCCATTTGATTTAATGCCAGGACTGCCCTTGGGCATCATGGACAAACAGCCCACCCTGATATAATAGACAGCCTCTTAGATTCCTATCCTACCATTGTCTTTCGGCAGGTAGGTGAAAGTGAAAGGCTCGCTGGAAACACTGTCAGTCAAGCGACGCAGGTACACCTCCACTTCCACTGGGTCAAGGATGTCAAGGTGTTGGTATGGGGGGGTCTTGAACACAATGGCAATCTGCCGATGAACATCTGCTTGGGAAAAATCAGCTTTGCCCTCCCAAGAATCTTTCCGGAAAACAATGGAAATATCTTCTGCAAAGAAGATGGAGAAGGAACAATCAAGATGGCTGGGAAGCAAATTCAAGGAACCAAATGTTGGGCACCACTATCGAGTTCCTCCTGCCCTCATTGGTCTCTCTCTAAACTAACTAAACAAGCAAACCACCATATGTTGGTTTCAGCTATCACCTGAATAGGCTCGCTTTTATGTTTCTGGCTTATTCCTTTATTCCAGCTCTTCAGAATGATAAGCTCAGATTCCAACCCCTGGGAATTCTCTGGGAGAGAATGAGATGCTGTACTAATTGTTCTGTGCCTGGGACTAAAGAAGTAACCTGATTGGATCGAATTAGTAGAATTGGGGCGGGGGGTATGAAAGACCCATGGAGTTCACAGCATGTACCTTTTTGGACTTTGTCGCACAGCAAATAGAGCTCCTCCCCACCTGTACAGCTGCCGTATTCTTTGTTCATCCGGTAGATTTTTAGCTCTGACGTGTTTGTGGATTCTGTGCATACGGAAACCGAAGGAATTAGAATTTGCCCACTTTGTATAGCTAGATGTCTTGTTGTTCGTCAGCCCACCCCTTCCTCCATCTTTCTGCACACATACACCCACACCCAACAACCCTCAACTGGACCCACGTCATGGGAAACACTGTTTTGCAGAGAAGGCCGCCCAGACATCAGCACAGACCCATCTACACCCAGGTGCAACAAAACCTATTCCAATGTCAAAGGTAATTTAAGGGGGGGGGGACACAACAGCTGAAAAAAAAAACATAATTGTGTGATGATGCATAAAGTTTTGTTTTCTTGACCGCCAGTTAACAAATACCAGCTTTCGCTGGCTTCTTCATAATACCTTTTTCACTAGAAAGAAAAAGGCTATTTTCATTGTGTGCAGTTTTCTTTTCTTTTTTCCTTTTCAAAACCAAACAACTAAAAACAACCATTTCTGGCTTGCTTATACTACATTTCCTGGTGGGTGTTTTTAGGGCACTTACAACTCTGCAAAAAAAAAACCCAAACCCCTAATAACAATAAATAATAATACTGCAAAAAGCATTGGCTTCCTAACTTCTGGCATCTTCAAGATTTATTTCTAACTTGCCCTTGCTCTCGCTCCCTTGCTCTCTCTCTCCCTCCCTCTCTCTCTCTTCCTTTCTTTCTTTCTTTCTCTTTCTTTCTTTCCCTTTCCCTTTCCCTTTCCCTTTCCCTTTCCCTTTCCCTTTCCCT